CCACACTTTGCTGAAGAAGCGTTAGCAAACTCTTGAGCAGCAACAACAGTACCATGTACTCCGCCATTGTTGTGTACGTTTGTTCGCGCTTGCCTTTACAATCGACACGTACTGCGCATGTCTACATACCTAACACCTACTACGCACGCGCATGACGTCACCGTTTTCAAAGATTCCCATTTTGGGTGTTTACACGGAAACGATAACGGTTGCGTTTTCAAAAACTTGCACTTTGAAACCCGTTTTCAAAAATATGCGTTTTTAGTCTCCAAAATGCCGTTGTCGTGTAAACGAACAGGCAAAACGCATAAAAAGTTTCCCGTTTATGGCTGAAAATGCTGTCGTGTAAACAGCCCCTGAATCCCAATATTTCCATGTTTCCTGGCCAAAGTTCAATATACTCCGGAATTTCACATCACCAACTTTCACACCCAGCTGTGCTGTGACACAAGTTAAGAGTCAAGTGCATGTCAATTTATGAGGGCTGACCTTTCCCAGAAGGCTGTGGAACCACAAAACCTGGAAGCAGGAAGGGTGCTCCGGTGGTGAGACCAGCTGGCTTCAGCTCGCTGACACCATATGTGGTCAGAGCGGTCACCAGGTTCACCAGGTCCTTTAGAGCATCTTTGGATTCATCCTCTTTGGCCTGCTCCAACCTAATATGTACAGCAAGTATAACAAAGAATATCACTACTCAATCATATCAGAATTTAAAGTAACTATACTGCCTCTTATTGCCTTTAAATTATTTATTTTTGGGGGTGAACTATCCCTTTAACACTTTAAGTAAACATACAAGTAGGGCTGAACGATTTTGGAAAATAATCTAATTGCGATTTTTTTTTACCAATATTGTGATTGTGATTTAATATGCAATTATTTTTTAAAGCTCTTTATGTTCTGTATTATTCAACAAAGACAAGCTATAAATCATTGTATAGTATGACCAACACAATATTATATAGATTAAACATAAATGTTCTTTTCTGTAGGCAAGGCCTATATGTTACGATGAAATTAGGTGATGCATGAATTGATATGAATGACATTTTTATTTAACAACTACAATCACAGTACATTGACTGATTTGTTGAACTTCCAACCTAATAATTATGTTTAAATAAGCCTGGTGTAAACATTAATATGAAAGTCAGTAACAAATCACACAAACTAAAGTAGAAATATAAAAACAAATCTGTTGCTTTACCACACTACTTTAGGTAATTCAAAGTCACTGTAATAAACATATGTAAACATGTGGACTGCACTAAACACTATCTGTTAACTTTAGACCAGTAGTTCTCAAACTTTTTTGGTCGCGCGCCCCCTTTAAACCTATAAAAAAATCTTTCCCAAATCCCCATCCCACCTCAGACTACCAAATAATTTCACTAAACATTATTAAAAATAATGCTATTTTAATTTAAAAAACACCTGCATCACTTGACGATCATGCTCATCATCAAGCCTCATCATATTTTCTGCATTTAGCTTTTGAATGACCAGCACCTGCCTGGGTCTGTGCGACTTCATCTATGGTTTTTCTCTTTGCTTTCACAAACCGATCCATCTCCCATTCTAAGTTACGTCCTTTGGCTGTTTACTGTTTTATTTCTTTTCTTTTTCTGCTGATGGCCCGCGCTCGACTTGAAGCAGCGCTGCTTAGATCGATCGGTGTGCGTCATCAAAGTACTGCGAGAGCTATAAGAGAGCGCGGACGTCTCATTATGCTTTCTCTCACCGTACTTTGATGTCATACACCGATCAATCTTCAAGTCGAACACAACTCTTTACTCTCGCGTGTCACGTGACCGAGTGTAATCGCACCCTCTGTGATTGAAAAATCGCGTTTTTTCATATCGCGATTTTATCGCAAATGCAATTAATCGTTCAGCCCTACATACAAGCAAGACAATAAAATAACTCAAATACTTTTTAAAGAAATTATATTCCACAAGAGCACACTCAATTGACCAAATTGACAGTAAAAACATTTATAATGTAACAAAAGATTTGTATTTCAAAAGTATTTATTTTAAATTCAAAAGAGTCAGTTTCCGTAAAAATATTAATCAGCACAACTGTTTTCATTTGATAATAATACGAAATGTTACTTGAGCACCAACTCAGCATATAGAATGATTTCTGAAGGATCACTACCTTTCCAAACTTTTGAACGTAGTGTACAAGAGCATGAAATATTGATTTATTTAGAAATGAGCAATGTAGTAAGTTTGAAAATGTACAGTCCGCTGATCATTACTGCAAAGTAACCCTCTTCCTAACCACACATTATCCTTCAAATATAAAATACTGAAGATTTGTGCAATAAATAATTAAAAATCAGTCACCTGATCATAAGATCTATGAGGAAGGTGTAGCCCTGACACATGCGGAAGTCATCCAGGAGTGTCTGAGAGACATCACTCGAATCCTTCAAAAAACAGGAGAGCCCAGCAAACATCTCCACAATCTCCAGAGGAGAGAGGTCATCTGACTGCTGCATGTTCTGGATGCACGTTGACAAGCACTCTTTCTCTGCAAGAAAGAGCCAGAACAAATATTGTCATTTTTTAAGCAGTTTTAACTTTTTTGCAGTAAACCAAAAAAATGCCTAAACACAACATTTCCACATTCACATACTTCAAAGGACTTAAATCCATCTTAAGGGCCAAGATTTGAGCATTGACCCATTAACTGCAGAGCAATTCTTGGCAAAAGTGTCTGCAAACACCAGACACTGACCTCTAAAAATGCTTCAAGCACAACAGTGAGTGACAGTAACCGGTTACGTAAGGTTAAAATGTTACTAGGGTTCATAAGATGCCAGCAGCAAAACATTGCTAGTATTATGCATCCATGCACAGCAATGGCAAAGAACCACATTGAAAGAAGTTAAATCATCACAGCAACTTACCGTGGATGTACTTGACGACGTTAACGCTGAGCCCATGTCGGGAGATGGTGGTAAGCACTTCTCCGGCGCTCTTCCTCCAGGGAAGGTTGTGGGGGGGACACCAGGAGGTGATGGCACTGAAGAGCAGCTGTAGATCATCCTTCTGGGCCAGCTCTTCTGCTGGAGACACGTAGCTGCACAGCTTCACAAGGATCTGAGAAGAAAAAGTCACAGTTGGTCTCAATATGTATACTTTATAGATATTTTGTGGAGAAAACACGGTTCCTAAAGACAGACAGACCTGGACAAAGACTTTCTGTAGAAGAGCTCTGCGGTCGGCCAGAGGAAGCTCAGTCTGGGTGGCAGCAGGAACCTCGGGCATGTGGGGCAGGTCAAAAAACAAATATAGACACTTCACCAGTGTGGAGGGCACCGACATGGTGGTCATACAGTCCACTGTTTTCTGTAGAAACATAGAAGGGGAAGGATTCAAATTCAGCTAATGAGCAGATCATGTTTTTTTATGTATTCGAATACGAATAACTGGCAACTTGTTTAATATTCTACAATTCTGTTAACAGATAAGACTAGAGAAGGAGGGAAAATAAAAATGAGTCACTTTGTATTAAATATCAATCCTATGAAACACCATGTTTAAAACCTCATAATCATCATTAGATAGCTTACTGAATGGTAAAACAAGGATTATAACAGTTTTAAACTCAAGATTGAGGTGTAACTTGAACAACTTTTACTTGAATAACCTATTTTCTGTTACTACAAATGATTATACGCTACCGTTCAAAAGTTTGGGGTCGGTAAGATTTTTTACGTTTTTGAAAGAAGTCTCTTATGCTCTCACCAAAGCTGCATTTGTTTAATCCAAAATACAGTAAAAACAGCAATATTGTGAAATATTCTTAAAATGTAACGGCTTTCTATATTAATATATATTTTAATTTTTAAATAGAATACATATTTTAAAATAAACTGAACAGTAATGCAAATACTTAATTACAACCTTTATTGTCTAAATCCAATAAACTATGTGTACTGATAAAAGACTAGAAGATATACAGTAAACCTAAACTTACATGATGTGTGCAGTGCATCTCATTACACAGTCTGGGTCTAAGGTCCTTTGTGAAACCCTGATAAGCATATATGGGAGATCAGTGATGTCATCACTCTGCACTAAAGGGGCTCAGGTGGACGTGACTGAAACGAAATGCTGCAGGTGGGTCAGAGCTCCGCTTTTCACTGCCATGTCACCTGCAGCAGTCTCGCCTGACACTAATCAGAGCAGGATCCTGCTGCCGGTGCCAATGAAACACTGATGAGAGGATAAAATCCTATCAGCCGCTTTTAAAGCAAGTCAGGAAGTGGTAGGAATCAGCTCAATCCGGCCAATAATTCTCTCTCTCTCTCTCACACATAAACACACACACAGCCCAAGCACTTTTTTCATTGCAGGTCCAGTCTGCAGCAGTGTGCACAGGCTGTCACATAAAAACCTGTTATTAATAGGGATGTAACGATTCACTCAAGTCACGATTCGATTCGATTCACAATTCTGATTTCACGTTTCGATTCACGTTTTTTCTTTTTTTTACAGATTTAAGACAAATAAATGAAATGTGTCCTTTTATTATTGCTCGGACAAAATGTTGCACGTTTCTTTGTGAAATTGAAATATAACACTATAACAATATACAGATTCACTCTCTGCCAGCAGGTGGCGCTTAAAGCGTTTCCGCTGTAAACAAAGCAGCGCTGCACTTAGATCTATACAAGATGAAAAGAAAAAAATACCATCTAAACTTTTCTAAAGACAGTAAGTTCCCCTCAGACATACATTCATATAAACTCCTACCCCTAACTGAATCGCGATTTGTTTAGCATCTCAACCGATTTGAATCGTTACATATTTGAATCGATTTTCAACCGGCTCGCGGTTAAACGTTACATCCCTAGTTATTAACAATCAAAAATGCTCACAAAACATTTATTCTTATCATTGTTGAAAAAAGCTCTGCTGCTTAATATTTTTATTGAAATTATATTTTTTTCCAGAAAGAATAAAAAGCTCAAAAGATCAGAATTTACTATAGATTTTTTTTTTTTTTTGGAACATTATAAATGTCTTGGTCACTTTTGATCAATTTAATTGCATCCTTGCTGAATAAAAGTATTAATTTTGTAAAAACACAAATAAATAAATAATTTACTGACCCCAAACTTTTAAACAATAGTGCAGTTATCAATCTAGTTATCGTTCTTGGTGTGAACAGGTCTTAAGACAAGGCCAAAGAATCCCAGCAGTGCCAAACCTTAATGGAGGATGCATTACAGCACAGTCACATTCAATGCTTTCATAAGAATGAGACAGCAAAACAGAAGATTAATCACTTCTACATTTTCATTCCAGTAAACACACTACGTGCACAAACAATAAATCATACCACTCTCTGTCAAATCAATAAAATCCACTATTTAGCAACATTAATCGTCTTTTACATACAAATTAAGAACAGTTACACTAATAAAGCCTCTCAGGCAAAAGGTCCATGTGTGAGAGAAATTGAACCAGTTGGACTCCATAAAGCCCCCGTTATGGCAGACGGTCAAGACTTGAAATAGCTCTCTCTGTGGTAGATAACCTCAACACTGAAGAGAAGCTAGCGGACAATGTGGTCTAGGGTCAAGTGTACATGACACCTACAGCCACTAAACGATGTTGTCTGACAGAAAAACACCAATAGAAGAGGGAAAAAGCAGGAGGACTTCTCACAGACCTCAACGCAGAGGAAGATGTGACAAGAGAGACGGTGTCCGTGAGGGTGAATTGAGGGTGCATTGGGAATGTAGAGCATGAAGGGCGTCCTTACAGAGAGAAAAGAAAAGAAAAGACCTTTGTTGTATCCGAGGGGCGGAGGGTGTTGCCAAGAGCACCAGTTTTTGTCTGCAACTCACAGCTTAGAATACAAACATATTTCACCCCTCAAAAACTTGTTTCACTTCTCAAATCTAGAGCCTTCTGCCTGAAAAGATAACGGTGCATGTTCAATTAATTCAAGCTCATCCTCTGGATTTTGACAAGCTCTAAATTGTGCCATATCACTGGATTCGCATTTCAAAAGGTCTGCATTTAGGAGGTGGAAATGTGTTTTATGTGTAGTGCAGCATGGAGATTTTATCAGAAGGTGTTTTCATTATATATTCACAGTAAAGCAGAAAGAGGGAGTAGGAAATGTAAAAATAGGCAGTGTGTGTGTGTAAGAGAAAGGGCACTTATTAGGCCACAGGAAATCTACACTTCTGCACTCCATCTTTATGTGCACAAGTTCTTTTCAGTGTGTTATGGAGGTAAATGATCCTTAAGGATTATATGAACCAAAATAAAATTAGAGCTAACAACAGACTTGAGGGAGATTTGAGCGTGCTGGCAAAACTTCAGCCAATTAATGAGATCCTACTTTATTAAACCAGGCCAACACATAAACAACTTGTACTGCAGGAAAATAACCATACAAAATCACAAGGAGACATGAACATTAAAAAAGGGCTAATTATAATAGTAGTGGTCGACCGATATTGTTTTTTTGACAGCCGATGCTGATATCTTGGAAAGCAGGGTGGCCGATGGCCGATATAAAGCCGATATAATTTTATTTATTTTAATTAATGTTTAAGAAATTTGAAATCATTTGAAAATGGATTAAAAAGTAAATGTGTTAAATAAACATACTTATACTTTATAATAGCAGTCACACTTCTGTTAAAATGTTCGGGTCAGCAAGGATGCAGTAAGTATAAAAATATTTATATTCTTTTGAACTTTCGATTCATTAAAGAATCCTGAGGGAAAAAAAGGATGGCTGTCTTCAAAAAAAAACATTGATAATAATAAGAATAAGCATTTTAGAATGATTTCTGAAGGATCATGTTACAGTGAAGACTGGAGTAATTTCCATCAAAGTAATTAATAAAATTTTTAAATTATAAAAAAATTTAAAAATTCTTTGAATTACATAGTACAATGTGAATATCATGTTCATCGCTGTACCATGGTACTGCCACAGCACTTTTCATACGAGACAGATCTTGAAGGGATTTTATTCTTGTGGGAACAGTAGTTACAACATTCCCATTCAGTCGATACAACACATGACTATGGGACATCCACAGATAGCCCTTTAATAATGCCCATGATGTAACCATGCCCATCTAACAGAGCAAATACCCATACACATATACCCGGAAACCATTTACTACTACAGTACATGGCATGGCTTTACTGTAGCCCCCACAATGCACTGCAAAAGATATAGAAAAATGATATCCAGCACCAGCTACTAATGAATAGATTTCATGAGATATCATAGATTCTCATTGTGATGCATAAAATTTACATTGGCCCTTCCAAAGTGCTATAATTTATGAGATACAATTTGGGCACTGACATAATGACCTCCCCTGGACGAAAAATCTGCACTTCTATTCCGTTGACTGACTTCAAAGAGCTTTGGATGAGAGTGGGATCAGTCCTTCCTCATCTAATGAATGACATGATAGGCACATTGTCTGTTTGATCAATCCATGAGAGGAAGTGCTTCAGGGCAACAAAAAAACATTTATGTGGTGTGTAGCTGACCACACCTTTCACTTCAAACAGGGCTTTATAAAGTGACCCTTGACTTGGTAGTCATAGCCTCAAGCTGTGCAGGCTTGAGCAATCAATAGCCTGAGAAACGGGTCTTCCGTGACACCATCCTCAAGCTGGAAGTTGTGACGTCAGGTCTGCAACCATTGTTGGAGAAGCCATCTTTCACTATAGAGCAGTGATCCTCAAATCTGGCTCGCGAGATCGTTTAGCTCCAACCCTATAATCAAACAAACCTACCTGTGATTTTCTAATGATCCTGAAGACATTGATTAGCAAACTCAGATGTGTTTGATTAGGGTAGAGCTAAACTCTGCAGGAAAGTGGATCTCGCGAGCCAGATTTGAGGATCACTGCTATAGAGTGAAGAATATTCCTCCTTTCTCCTGCTCTTGGTCAAATCCAACACATACTAATGTCACTATACTAATCCTTCCAGCCTCCACGCAGTTCTCCAGTTTTTTGATCTAGAAGAAGGCAGTTTCTCTCTCTCTGATATCTGAGGTATGTGCAACTCGAGATAAGGTGAACCAAGTACACGCTTAACAAATTACCGCTGATAGTGTGCTGAAAGGCAAACCTAGCATGGCTGGTTCCAGTTTTTGAGTATATTTTTCATACACTAGGTACTGACATGCCAAGGGACAATTATGTTTTCTTAAAGAGGTCCTATTATGCTTTTTCACTATTTCAACTTTAGTTAGTCTGTAATGTTGCTGTTTGAGCATAAAAAAGATCTGCAAAGTTACAAAGTTCAAAGTCCAATTCAAAAGGAGATATTTTATTTAACAGAAATCACTTTTCAAAAACTACAACGAACGACTCGTTTGGACTACAACGCATATTTTCTGGGATTTGTGATATCACAAATATCGACGAATGGGACGAGACCTAGTTGAGCTGCACTAGAGAAGGCAACAAGTGTTATCACTATGTCGGAGACACCAAGGCAGGTGATGAAAATTCTGTCATTAATTATTTACCCTCATGTTGTTCCAAACCCATAAGACCTTCATTCATTTTCGGAACACAAATTAAGATATTTTTGATGAAATCTGAGCGCTTTCTAACCCTGCATAGACAGCAACGCAACTACCACATTCAAGACCCAGAAAGGTAGTAAGGACATCGTTAAAATAGTCTATCTGACATCAGTGGTTCAACCTTAATTTTATGAAGCTATGAGAATACTTTTTGTGAGCAAAGAAAACAAAATTAACAACTTTATTCAACAATTCTTGCAGGGTCAGAAAGCTCTCAGATTTGATCAAAAATATCTTGATTTGTGTTCCGAAGATGAACAAAGGTCTTACGGATTTGGAAAGATGAGGGTGAGTAATTAATGACATAATTTTCATTTTTGGGTGAACTATTCCTTTAAATTGTAAAAATATTTCTCAAGATTACAATTTTTACTGTATTTTTGATCAAATAAACGCAGCCTGGGTGAGCATAAAAGAGTTTGTTAAAAAAAAAAACATTAAACAAACTGTGCATGTATTTATGTCTCTGCATAGATTTTTCTAGACCAGATGGACCTTGTTTTTATTTGTAAATGTTTCTTGCGATCGATTCATCTGCTGCACATTAAACACACAGACCTGTCCTGAGGAAGCCAGCAGGTTGATGGTGGTCAGGAGCATCCAGCCCCGGCTCGCCTCCTCGCTCTGATTTACCTCCAGAAACTGCACAATGGCTCTGCTGGCTGCCTCTGTGGGAGGAGCACACACACACAAACAGAATCACTGACGCGTTTAACAGTCTGTGCATGTGGATCAAATCAATTTTCACACGTCCTTTTGTGTGTGACTGGCCTCCTCTGGGGAAGGACGCTGAGTCAATTAGAGGTGATGACATGCAGGCGGTTTCGTTTCTCATTCATCCATTGCTACCTCTTTTTGAGATGCAATATCTTGACACCCCAGTGAATTCACAAAGGATAAGATTTACTCAGAAGAATGATATTTTCTGCTCCAATGAAAATGCAATCATATGATGACATTTTGAAACCCATTGTTATTAAAAATACAATAAATCTCACATACAGAATAAATACAGTATTATTAACATTATACATAATGCTTTTCATTGTATAAGTATTATGAATATAGTTTGAAATCAAAACCAAGTTTTAAAACATAATAGATGGTATAAAAAGCTGCTAAAATGCTTAAGCACTTACTCCTCATTGTATCATGAGATGCTCAATATGGTGTTTGTGGATCTATGCAACATATGCTGTCACGGTAGATTACATCACCAAAAATAAACATTACTGTACATCATGTGCCAAGACAAGCTGCCAACACACAGTGTGCGGACAGCAGAGTAACTCAGAGACCATAAAGCCCAGATTGAGTGTTCCTCAGTAATAAAAGCAAGAACACATAGGTATAAACATAGGTTATGTCTATGCTATGTCTATACTGCAGCGTCTGGACCAATCAAACACACAATATATATTTTGTTAGCTATATTTAACAAATACTCTGTAACACCCCTCAGTTAACAAGCCATATGAGGACCTATGGACCCTTCCCCCGAAATGCGTCTTAACACCTCAGAAAGACACCAGGTTCCATGGCAACCACGGCTGATAACACTGGTTTTATTGCTCAAAGGAATGCAAGAGAGAGACTCTCACTGCATTTTCCATAGCAAGAGGCAAAATGCACAGTAGAAATTGACTTTTCTACTAATTAATTCATAGGAAAACCTTTCTTTGAATGAACACACATATCCTTCAGGTCATTGTGTATGTTGTCTTTGATATGATTAATTATTCATAGTTCCCCATGAGCTGATTCGCTACAATACAAACTTATTAATAAATAGAGGATACAAATTATATTAAATCACTTTAAAAAATAATAAAAATAACATTTTACTTGTGTAATGGGCCAATTTTACAGTTAATTAATACATTAAAATGAGGGAAAATAGGTGAGATTTGTTTTAATCTATCAGGAATTGAATGAATTGAAAAAATTAGGCATTACATATCAGAAAGTAGCCAGACAAAAAGAAAGAAAACAAAGTTTAGCGAATAAAAGTGTGGTCGAATTTCAACCTTCAAAAATAATTGATTCTGTAATGACTTTTAATTTATCACGCCAACACATTTTTTTCAGACTTTTTAAGTTTTCTTACAATTAAATAGATTGGAGCAGGTCTGAATACATACTTGCGTGTTAACAGAATACCCAGGACATTCGAGTAGTTTGAAGTACCTGTTGATTTATTGGACGCTCTCCGTCTGATCTCAGTCACCATCAGCCTGGACACTTGAGTGGTGAACTGCAGCAGGTCTGAAAACTTCTCATTCATCATGTTTGGTGGAGCATTCCCAAACACCTGTCACACACACAAAAACACCATTTACAGAGCTCAAACAACCTTCTTTTCATGTAAACCTTTTTTTTCCCTCTACAAAGATGGGGACCTGTTGAGTTAAAGGAGACATATTATGCCCCTTTTTACAATATGTAATATAAGTCTCTGGTGTCCCCAGAATGTGTCTGTGAAGTTTCAGCTCAAAATACTCCACAGATCATTTATTACATCATTTTGAAAATGCCTATTTTGAGTGGAAGCAGAAACACACTGTTTTTCAGGCCTGTCTCTTTAAATGCAAATGAGCTGATGTTCCCGCCCCCTTTTCCAGAATAGAGCTGCGCCATTACAGCTCGTATCTGCTAAAAAACATCTGTTTTGGTTCTGATTATCATGTGTATCGCGCTGAAATCATGCGTTTTAAACCATATTAGTTTAAACTTCTGATATACGGTTTTCTGAGAGTACACATCCGAAAACGGCTGTCACGGCATGCGAGTAATACACTAAGTTCTCATTCACACACAAGTTTACGTTCAAAGTTACTGGGTTAATCTTTTTCACGTTTCCTTGGTTGGTAGATGCACCGGGGACCTGATTATAGCACTTAAAACCTGGAAAAGTCAGATTTTCATGATATGTCACCTTTAAAGCTGAGGTTTAATTAACAGTCACTCCCTTGATGTCTGAAGAGCAGTATGCTCAGTTTATAGAGTTCTTTAGCTTTCGTAGCAGCACTGATAAGAGATTCACAAAACTGCCCTTCAGCATCTGGCTCGCAGGCAGAATGTCCAGTCAAATTAGTATACTAACCACAAACATTCATAAGAGGCGCAAGACCATCATGTTCAAATCTAGACTGTCAGGCCTCTTGTTGTTTGAAGAAATCAAAATCAAGAGAGACATACTGCAGTGTTAATGCTAATACGCCGCGTTTCACATGAGTCTATAGCTCTGCATCAAATATGACAGCATTGTAAATAGAGAGGCAGTTTCATCCCACTTCTACAAGTGCTCTCCAAACGCACACAGGCTGCAGCAGGTCAGCGCTCTTTCATGCACAATGATGAGCTGTAGTTGAGGTCATATGCAGAGTTTCTGTATAATCAATGCTGGATGATTAGCACCATCATGCTCTTCTCCAGCCTGTGAGAGTCACTTGATGTCATAACGACTACTTAGCCTTTGTAAATGAAGCACTTGTACCTGCTGGTTCTCTGCTTCTCATTGTTTAAGTTAACAGTAAGTATAGTGTAAATAATTTGTCTTAAAGACAGGGATTTATTATTTTTATTATTAAAAGAATATAGTGATTTGTCTGTAAAAGAAGACACAGGTTTAAAGGTGGGGTAAGCGATTTTTCAAAAACGCTTTAGAAAACTGATTCGGGCCGACTAGCAAAACAAACTTGTAGCCAATCAGCAGTAAGGGGCGTGTCTACTCATGATGTGGAGGAGAGAGCGTTCAGTGGACAGGACGGACATTAGCGAGCCGAGCGACAGAAAGATAGAGATGGCAGATAAAAAACAAAAGAGGAAAACGTCTGCGGAACAAAAGAAGGCTTAAGGCAAGAAGTAGGACCTGTGTAAATATCGGATCAGCTTTCCAGCGCTGGAGAGAACTCAAGGAGCGGAAGGCCTGCGATCGGACGCCGAGGTTGCTTTGTTTCTTCTCGGGCGTGTTTGTTTTGGTGATTTCAAATGTCAACATTGGCTACCAGAAATCGCTTACCTCACCTTTAAGGTTCTTGCATTCTAACAATATGAAATTTACTGACTATATACACACTACTGTAAGTTTAGGGCCAGTAAGATTATTTAATGTTTTAGAAAGAAGTCTCTTATGCTCATCAAGGCTGCATTTATTCAAAAATACTGATTGTTTGTTTGTTTGTGTTCAATGCCATTCCAGCTTCTGTGGCTATTTTCATGGCGAGCAATATCAAAAATACAGCAAAAATAGTAATATTGTGAAATATTATTACAATTTAAAATAATTGTTTTATATATTTTAAAATTAAATGTTTTGCTGTGATGGCAAAGCTGGATTTTCAGCAGCCATTACTCCAAACTTCAGTGTCACGTGACCCTTCAGAAATCATTCTAATATGTAGATTCGGTCCTCAAGAAACATTTTATTAAAATGTTGAAAACAGCTGTGCTACTTAATATTTTTGTGAAAACTGTGATACAATTTATTAGGATTCTTTGATGAACAGAAAGTTCAAAAGAATTGCATTTATTTGAAATTGAATATTTTGTAGCAATGTTAAAGTCTTTACTGTACATTTTGATCAATTAAATGCATCTGTATCCCAAATGCAAAAGTATCCCATTTACAAAAAAAATAAATAAATAAATAAATCTTACTGAGCCCAACTGGTAGCCCAAAAGCCATATGAATGGTAGCATACAGTTTTTATTTATTTTATTTAATTATTTTTATTTATTTTATTTTTTTGCAAACTTAAATATTTGGTTTTTAGCACTGTTTGGTGATTTTCTAGCAATTATGCATATAAAGTTTACAGTCATCAGTTACATTACAGCTTTACAACTTCCAGCTACTGGTGCAATTATAATAAATTATTTGTTGTATTTTCTTTTTTGGGGAAAAAAAAAGAAAAAAGAAAAATATAAATAATATTTTTAGAATATAAACAAAAATTATAATTTTTTTCTTATTGTTATAAAAAAAATGTACTGCTAAAAACAAAATGTATAATTGTTTTTTATGGCAGGGCTAGTGAAAATATTAACAGGGCAAGTAGAAATCTGAACTACTGCCACAGCTAAGCCAGTAGAAAAAAAATCCTGCTGCTGTTGTCTCGTCACTAATTATCCTCTAACCTCCCAACCTCTTAAAAAAAAAAAAAACACTAACAAAAAGAGAGAGAAAAAAAGAACAAAGCCACCAGGGGGTGTTTTAGTGTTATCAGTGCAATAACATTTCTACTATATTTGTCTTCTCTGTTAATGCATTTTGACTGGTGAGGATGTAGTACTGTTCAGAAGTCTCTCTACTTTCTGTCTACCTCTGCTTTTTTTAATAAATTGCATTATCCTGATGCACATTACACTATGATTAACAAAAAGAGAGAGAAAAAAATAACAAAGCCACCAGGGGGTGTTTTAGTGTTATCAGTGCAATAACATTTCTACTATATTTGTCTTCTCTGTTAATGCATTTTGACTGGTGAGGATGTAGTACTGTTCAGAAGTCTCTCTACTTTCTGTCTACCTCTGCTTTTTTTAATAAATTGCATTATCCTGATGCACATTACACTATGATGATGCTGTCTCTTTATGTAAACAGTCATCTCTCTCTCACCCGGTTGAAAACAGGCAGCATCATGTAGAGCTTCTCCTCCTGCTCTTTTTGTGTCATGTGGCGCGGTGGGTGGCAGAGCTCGGAGAAGAGACGGCGCAGGTGCATGAGTCCCAGCGCGTTGTCCTGTGGGCTGCACTCCTCCTGCCGCGGCCTCCCCATGATCCTCTTCACCATATTCATTTTTAGAGGCTTCTTGAGGCCGAAGCCAGCCCTGACAGAGCAGACAAATAGACAAAAGAGAGGTTTTGTGAAATGGAGGAAATGAAAAGGGGAGGGTGGGGAGGGGAGGGGGAAAAAATAACGAGATGTCAGGGAAATTGATCGTCGATTGTGAAAGTCCACTTCTAATGTGACGTGATATGCTAGCTTCAAATTGCAGATCAAATTCAGCCTGTTTATTTTTTGCAGTGAACTGCTTCTGTCTGAGACCCTTTAGTGAGGATTCTGCTGCAGGTACAGAAATACTGCAGGACATGCAAACAAAACTGGATCCAAGATATTATTTAGGTTCATTTCAAGGACACAGCGATGAAAGCAAACTTAAGTATCTATGTATAAAGCAACAAGATTTGTGTATAACTGCACAAGCCCTTAGGATAAATATTACTATTATTGAGAAGCTATTGTGTGATTTTGTAATTCTCATTCTTATCAATTGTTGCACTTTAAATTGTCCATTCCATGTACAGTAAGTTACAGTTCATATAGGAAAATCAGACACAAACTAACTCTCTCTCTTACTAACTGCAAATTACAAACAAAAATGAGCAAATAAACATACAGGAAACAGCCAATTGATTGTAATAGGCTACACAGAGCTTTACTACACAGAGCAGTAGTTCACTGACAAGCTAGGCAATATCACACTCATTATCGCAGGCGATAAATGCCGCTCCATCTGAAAACACGTGATGGTGATTTACTACTAATCACGGAACCGGCATTACTTACGAGATGCGCATGACAATCGCATGCGATTAATTGCACAGCCCTAATAGGCTACATGGCTTGCTAAAAGGGCTGGGCAATAAACAATATATCATCAAGATCATGATAAAATGTAACGATAATAAGCTCTGGACATTTTTATCTATATGGATTAATGTAACTTTGCTTTCCATTTATTACTTAAAGCACACTTAAAGGGGTCATATGATGTTGCTAAAAAGAACAGTATTTTGTGTATTTGGTGTAATGAAATGTGTTTATGCGGTTTAAGGTTAAAAAAACACATTATTTTCCACATACTGTACATTATTGTTTCTCCTCTATGCCCCACCTTTCTGAAACGCGTCGATTTTTACAAAGCTCATCGGTCTGAAAAGCAAGGTGTGCTGTGATTGGCCAGCTATCCAGTGCGTTATGATTGGCCGAATACCTCAAGCGCGTGACGGAAATGTTACGCCCCTACCATACTGTGATGATGCCCTGTCAGGCCGGAGCGATGATTCAAAAACATGAAAACCCATTATAAACAAGGCATTCGTTGCATCCAGTGCTGCAAAAATTATGGATTATAATGACTAGTGTTGCGATGCATCGCGCCGCGTAAACATAAAACCATGTCTGCATTTGTGATCGGAGAAATGACAAACAACAAGCCCTACTCTACACTGCCCAAAAAACTCGCTTTAAATATAAAAAATATAAAATATAAAAACTCTTTAAATATA